GGTGGGATATGCATTAATGTCCTGTTTTCAACTATTTCATGAAGAGTAGACAGAGCATGTGTATTCTCTCTCTCTCTCAGTGTGTTACAACATTTCTATAGCATTGATATCTTTCATTCGGATTGTTTTTATAGAAAACCCATTGTTGGATTTAAAGATACCAAGACATAGATCATCATCCTAAAATTTCATAATAATCCAAAATTGTTTTGCACCCAATCATAGAGCTCTTGATTATACTCCCTCGGCTCAATTTTTTACCTTCCCACTTTCCTTTTCAGTCCATCCACTAGTTATCTTCCCATTTCCTTTTTTGCAAGTTTTTTGTGGGTAAAATGTATTTAATATCCTAAAATATCTTCCAACCAGTTAACCCAAATCCTTACCCACCCCAATATCACCCTCACCCACTCCTTTTCTTTCCTTATTCCACCAGCGTACCTCTCATCTTCGACTTCATCTTCTTCTACTTTTTTTCTTACTCAAATCTTCATCAAAACTTCTTGAAATCGTCATCTTCATCTAATTTTCTTTTCTTTTTAAAATCTTCTTCTTCTTGAAATCAATTTTTTCTTAATTCACTCTTCATCTTCTTCGAGAATTCTTTTGCTTCCACTCTTCTTGTCATCGAGTCTTCTTCTTCATCATATCTCAAGACAAAGTGTTGTTTTCGCCAGATCTGAAGCTTGTATAGGTTTTGTCCACTGCTGGAGATGGAGGATCGCCAGCCGGTGTTCGATCCGCAGAGAAAGAAGATTAAGAAATGGTCGTGACCATCAATTTCTTGTGCTGCCGGTGTTGAGCTGAAGAAAGACGAACAGGGATTTGGGCTGGGAGGCCGGAATCCGGGTGTTGTCGGTGCCGGTGTTGAGCTGGTGCTCTAGGCTGGGACGAATAGTGATTTTGGGCTGGTGCTGCTGGTGATTTGGATGTGTTGACGGAGGAGATAGGGTGCCAGGGAGGCTGGCTGAGTGAAGGAGGGAGAGGTATTTTGGAAAAGTCAACCACATTTTCACTTTACCTAAATCTGCATGCCGGGTCAAACCGGGAGTATATTAAATGGACGGAGGGAGTTTATGATTTAGAATTAAATAGTACATCAATTTTTTTATTATGATTTAGTGTTGAAACGATTTCAGATTTTTATGAAATTTTAGCAGTAAGATCTACATCCTAATATCTTTGAATCCAACAGTGGGTTTTGTATTAAAACCATCCAAATGAGAGACATCAATGTTGTAGAAGTGTTGTAAACACTAAATGCGTGCGTGCCCCCCCCCCCCNAGTATTCGATAATGAATTATTTATCAAAGAACTATAAAATCCCAAATTGAAAGGCCCTAATATTGAGATGCTATCTACTTACTATTTGGGTCGCCTAATGTCATATTTCTTGCTCTGTGCCTCCGTCTCTGGTTATATCGGCATTAGAAACTAACAGGTGCAAACAATGTAGAGACAAACATGTCTATTTCTTATAATGGTTAATGTATGTACAATTAAGACAATGTTATCCTTTTGATTCTTTGACAATATGCATGTATGACTTTATTTATTGCAATGAAAATTATTTATTTATTGCAATTATGTTCAGCAGCTGTCATTCACTTTAAAAAGTCCATAGACTTCAAACTTCCCTTAAATATATCCACAGAATGCTATTAATATACATTGATCTAACAGTAATTTTGAGTTTATTATTTACTTACCTGTTGACGTTTGGTTTGAATGAACGTTGATTGATGTATGTGTGAACAGATTCCAGTTGTGAGTTATATCCTCAAAAATTCTCTTAAGCTGAAATCCAGTGATTCAGAAACAGTAAGTTGCAATTATAACAGCATTTTTTTTTATTTTTTTATTGTAACAGTATTTTATGATAACCATATGCTCAATACTTGAGCTTACTTTATTTTCTCTTGCCACCTGGCCAGAATATATCACCGGACTGACTGCAATTGAAGGGTTAATTGAAATGTGTTAATATGGCATGTTTGCAGGTCATAAGCCTGCATATCGCGGCAAAAAAATTTGCCTCACTGATTCCATCTATTAAATCTGAAGACACAGAAATTATTGAAGTGGATTGGAAAAAAGAAACTATTGATGTTCCAGTTGCTTTGAAACGTAGAATACTTATTGGTAAGAAAAGTTGCTTCTGATGCCAGGCCCTGTTTCTAAAAACAATGGTTTTTGGATAGTATTGCACATAGCCTATGCCTTTATTTGTTTGTATTTATCTCGAAACCTTGGGTTTCAAAAGTTTTGCTAGGTGACATGTTTTTCACACTGACAGGACTGGTGCTCCGTGATATTAAAGACTTTTGGCGTGTTTCCCTTGCGCTCTCCGTGCTATTATACCCTACAAATTTGGATTTAGATGAAGTTTGCGAGTTGGAGAAGAGAAGTGAATTATTTAAGACGGTTGAGAAAGCCATCCTCAATCTAGGTACCATTAATAATATCATTCACGTTTTCATTCCGGTCAAATAGCTTTCTAGACACTGGAAATCCAAGGGGGAAATAGTCAAATGGGTGGTCTTGGTTACATGTTATGCTTCTTCATCCAAATTCTAAACTCCTTCCTTTTAGACGTGCAAATAGTGACCCCACCTTTGTATGCTCAAGTAGTATCTTAGTAATGCTTTCTCTTCATCTTCATCTGCACCAAGAGTTCGAATGGGTGGTTCTCACCTAGTTAGAGAACCAAGTCTAGGACCTTATGTTGCAGATGTGTTAATATATGATTTGTCACTTCATGATTGCATAGGCTGAGTAGTGATGTGTGATTTCTTGAATTTCTTTTGATCCACAGGCCTAGAAAAGGTCTGGGAACTTAAGCCACTGGTGAATGGGAAAGAAATCATGAATGTTTTGGAGATTAATACGGGAGGACGAATCGTAAATGAATGGGTAAGAAGGCGTACAAACTTGCTAGCTTTTTAAAACACAGTCCGGCACTGAGCTTGCTTATCATGTTTGTTTTTCTTTTCTAGCAACAAAAATTACTCGAATGGCAGCTTTCACATCCTTGCGGGACAGCTGAAGAATGCATTGATTGGATGAGAGAGGCTAACTCAAAACGTATCAGAATGGAGTAACGGAAAGATCCAATTGCATTTCTCTATGAGTTCCCTTGACTGACAATAGTTTTGCAAGGACTACAGGTTTTAAGGCCATAACAGCCGTCACTGCCACTTCACATAATTACTTCTGCACTTACACTGTAGAGCAACTAGAAGGCAAGTCCTCCCCTGGTTCAGTTTTTGTAGCTCACTTTTTCAATTTGCATTTGCATTCAATATGTAAATTGTTGATTACTGGACTTGAAAAACTTCTGTTCTCCTATGGAATACCCAAATTTCTTCTTGTCAAATTTCCTTAATTTTCTTTATCTATTTTTTATGTATTTGATAAAATAATGTTATTATGTTAAATCTTGTTAATGAAACTCTTACATTTTTAAATATGTGAATTTGACGGAGTATTTTAAATTTTATTTCATTTTTCAAATCAATAAATTAAAAATGATTTCAGTCAAATATTGTAAACTAAAATGAAAAATTTAATTTTGGCCGTGGAGAGTAGTACACTTTGCATTAGTCAATACTCATGTTTTGAAATGATATTGAATTAATGGTAGTGCTTTTTTTTCTTTAACTTATTTGCAACGATTTCATTGTTGTAAATAGGCGTTTAAGTCTGTTGGATCAACCCAATCTCAATCATCTTAGGGCTTGTTTGGTGAGTTTTGGGGAAATGAAAAGATTTAGATTTTGAAATCGAGAAGAATTGATGGATTTTCAACTTTGGAAGAGAATGTGTTTTGAAGCCTTAGACTAAAGTGTTTTGTGAGAGATTATGTAAACAAAGACAAGATTTGCCGTCGCAGCATACTTGATTGTCACATTTGAGACTCCTAGAACATGAGTTGCCCTCGTCGCCGTTACTCTTGGAGGTTGAGTCATCGTTGTCGGTGCTTCCGGAGGTTGAGTCGTTCTTGTTGCCCCAGCTCCCGGAGCTGGAGTCGTTGCCGCCGTCGCATGTAGTGATGGAAGTGCGAAGCTTTCTCGTTGCTCCATCAGAAGGGAAAGATGGGAAGATCAATAGATAGATGGGAAGAAGAGAAATGGATGCGCTATGGACAATAAGAAGACACTGGTGTTAAGGATTTTGAATTGTAAACTCTGAGATTCTATTTGGGACCGGGGGAGGGGGGGTCAAAACAAGTAATAATGGAGTCTTAGGGTGGTATATTCATCCCAAATTTTAAAAGATTATGATAGATTGTTTAGATTGTATGTGTTTTGTAAAATTAATATATTATTTAAAACCAACACACTTAAATAGATTTTAATATATTTTATCAGCATGATTTTATTTGATTCTTGCAGGATGTTTATAAACCATAGATCATTTATACAAAAAATTGAATTATTTTAAAAATCCTTACATTGTTCTAACGTTAATTATGAAATTGACCAAAAACTCTAAAATAAATATAATACAATAAAAATAAATTATTTTTCAAGTATTATTATTATTATTATTATTGTTATTACTAATTTATTAGCATAAAAGAATATATTGATCATTGTCATAAGCAACAACAACAACAACAACAACCCAGTTAAATCTCACAAGAGTAGGGTCTGGGGAGGGTGTGTGTACGCAGACCTTGCCCCTACTCGAAAGTAGAGAGGCTGTTTCTAAAGAGACCCCCGGCTCAACGTCAAAAGTTGCATTGCTTAACTAACTGCTACTTCATTAATTAAAGAAGCGCAGATAGTTTAGAGATCCATTTTGATTTATTCCATCACACCCCAAAGCCAAAAAAAGGGGGAAATTTTGTCATAAGCAATAAGTTTATTTTGTAACTCAAAGCATTACTATCTCTAAACTATTTTCCATGTATGTCAAAATTTATCAAGAAAAATCTAAAGATAACACAATAGAAGACATTATCCAAAATTTAAAGGCAATTTAAAAATAAAATTATTCAACAACATAGTCCTCTATTTTTCCTATCACTTCTTCCATTTATCTATGACCAATGACAAAGCATAATATTTTTTTTAATAAGGACAAAGCATAATTAACAAGCAGATCACTATATGAGTATGACCATAAGAAGATACTATGAAACTAGCATGCAAGTATATATGTACCATAAGAAGATATGAAAAATATTTGAAATTTAAAGCTCAGCAACATATAGTACGTTTAGTACCTTCTCCATTATTTGACTCAAGTCTTCCACCATGTCCCAAAGCTCATCAACTTCAGTCCTTTGCATCTCTTCTTTATACTTTCCCACAACTCTTGGGTCAGTAACGATTTGGCCCACGCTGAAAATACGGCCCCCCTTCTTTGATGGCGAAAGTTGGTTCTTCCTAACATGAACTTTGAAAAGCGCTTTTTGAGAAAGTATTCCGTCCAACTCTTGGGGTAAAGTATCTGGATCCAATTTCCTCTGTTTTGAAAACAAATTGTAAGTCCTTGTTGTTTGGCCATTGCCATTCCACCAAAATAAATCTTACATTTACCTCAATCATGGCCTCCCTTAGCAGGTACGGACTAACACCCAACAATTCAGTGCATTCTTTGTCAAATATGACAAAAGTAGCATGGCCACCACCACTCTGGTCAACGACACGAACAATGACTTTGTACCTACATTTTCAAATTTATGGCAATCACAACCATTTAGAAAAAAACACCGAAAATATATAATACAAAAAAATTCTTGTATTTACTTGTACACCCCATGTGGTATCGTTTTGTTGCAACCATCACACTTAAACCTTGAATCTTCTGGGTAAACTTTCCTATTACATTCTGAGCATCCAAGATACGACCAAGCACGCATTGGACCGAGAGAATCCACCTCACCCACAACCCAGTATGCACCTTCCTATTAATGCATGCACTTATCAAATTTGTAATTACGAACACAATTAATAATATAAAAAAAATGTTTGAGTATAATAGTAATATACTCGTGATCGTCAAAGTTCCGCTATCAACATCTTCTCCACCACTTAACATTGTGTTTTGAAAGGTCGTATCTTCAGCTTCATGTGGGGGGAACCTAAAAAAATTCTTTGATTTATCCTCCTAGGTTTGAACGAATATAATAATTCGAGTTTGTTATGTAAAAATTGAGAAAATTTTGGTGTCTTACTTTCCCTTGAAATCTTGAATCTCATTCAAATCTCCATCAAAAACTATTTTTTGTTACGTCAAACGTTGTGGTAACATTGACCTCTTCTGTAAAAAAAGTGGTTAATCAAATCATTATTTTTTTCGTTTTACAAATACAGTTATTAAAAGGAAGAAAAAAAAAATACTATAATCCCTCACCATTAAATCGCTTAGCACGACAAAAGCTCACCATCATCAGGGAAGGATAAGGCAGGTCTAGAGCGACATATTCAAGGAACTGATCAACAAACTTTCCCCATAGTGTACAATTCAAACGAATCCCCCTACGCAAAACACGGATTAAAGAATCGTAGATTAAGTATTATTTCAGAGATGTCATCTTAAATAACTTACTCATGATCTTACAAACTTATCTCCATAAGCTTGTCCTCTTTCCGCGGTGTAATATGAGTTCGAACGCTGGAACGACCAACAATCTTTCCAATAATATCTGAAAATGAAAAAAATATAAGATCTTATATACAATGTTTAACACGGAGTAGATTGAAATTTAAACATACAATTCAATGTACATAGTAGTAGATTAAAATGTAAACATACCTATCAAGAAATAATCTCTCTCCACTGCCTGCTCTCGGATAGTGTTAAATGGACGCAAGTCATACATGAGTTCAGGAAATCCTTGTTTACTCAATGTCTTGACATCAGTTTTGCTAAAGAAAGCCAATAAAAAACGATGTCGTGTTGTTTTCAATGCTTGATAGTTTTCATCGATCAAAAGATTTTTTATCCCATAAACACCTCCCTCAATAATTTGAGTTTTATACCGTGCATTGTAAGGTTTTTTTAGTTGGCAATGAATCCTGGTACCCTGTTACAATTTCGAACAAAGAAATAAAAAAAATACTTGTCATAAGAGTGTGTGTTACGGCGTAAAATACAAAAATTTGTGAAATTAATTTTTTTTCGTAAATAGAAATTAGAAATAAGAAATAAAACGTCATCGTCATGGAAGACAACCTCCAAGGATTCTCCAATCCTACCAAACGAAGAGACTTCATAGATGCGAATGGCTCGAACGTATGGCAAGACTATTTTGGGCCTTCTCAATGTCTGCCAGCTTTGTCCACAAAGATATAGATGATCGGTTTGAAGCCATTTTTTCGAAATTGGTAGAGAGAATTTTTGAGAGTAAAGATTTTGGGGTATTGAATGAGAGAGAACCCTTGGTTTTTATGAGAGAAGAAGCTACTAAGTAAAGTGCCTTTCAATTAATGCATGTAATTATTTTTTTCACTCTCCAATAAACTGAACTTTATTTTGTGCTTTGTCTTTTCGAATGCTCACGGTTACCAATAAGTAGGTTAGCCATAATTTACTTCATTTCAGATTTCCCATGCTCACGATTACCCATGTAGGCTATTCATAATTTCGGACATACACTTCTATAAGCGTGTACATTTTGGCGGGAAAATGTACTATTCATTTTCTCCCATTTGCTTTGTATATTAGTAGATTTGCAAACTAGATTTTTATTTATAATCGAAGCAAAAAACCCATCACAATCTATATCTTAACAAATGAAATTTGCTTAAAATAATACCAAAACTTAACATTCTTTCCTAAATAGCACCCAACATGTTTTTCCCCCAAAACTAACGTTAAATTAATTATTTAATTTATTATTAATAATATACTTCATCCGTCCCGCAAAAAAGTTCCCCTTTCTTTTTTCATCCGTCTCAAAAAACACTTTCCTTTTCCTTTTAAAAAGTCACTTTTACCCTTATTAAATCTTAACATACCTATCACATCACACTTTTTCTCTATTAATCTATCTATCTCATCCTACTTTATCCATCACATCAAAGTACATTTTGGAAAGTCAACACCAAAATATACTCCCCTTAAATCTGCAAAAAGTCAAAACGGGAACTTTTTTAAGTGACGGAGGGAGAACATTTTACTAAAACATTCTTGTATTCTAATTATTTTGTACTCCGTATAAAATATAGATTATATTTTTTTTCTCCTTTTGATTCATTCCTTTTTTCCTTGATTCGTCTGCTTATATTTTTTGATGGACATTGTAAAAATATTGACATTGTTTACTGATTCGAGACATTGTAAAAATAATGGACATTGTTCACAGATCGCAGATATTGATGGCTAATGCAGTAGACATTTATAATTACGATAATGTCATTTTTTCAACCGACAATACATTGGCAATGGACATGTAGACATTAAAAACGGTATTAGATATTATAAGAGTGAAACCATGGAAGTTATTTAATCAGACATAAATGCATAATGGACATTAATGGGGTGGCAGCGGGACACCGATGTCAGTATTTTGTGATTGACGGCTGGCAAAGGACAGTATGACGTGATGGGACAGTAAATATAAAAATATGTTAAAGGTATTTTAGTACACTAGAATTGATAATTAATTATTAATTAATTAATTAGATACTAGTTATGGAAAATAAAAGTTATCGTGCTATATAGGCAAATCATTATGTTTTAATGTTATTTAAGTAAGTTTCCTTTTTAACTCTTTTTGAGAATCTATCAATTTTTTAATATCATTAGATTTAGAATTTTTTTTTGAAAATCTCAATTGAATATCTCAATTTTTAAATATTTTTTCAAAATCTCAATTACATATTTCTAGATTTTAGGCGATTTTTCAAAATTTCAATTCAATACCTATTAGTTTCTAAAATAAAAAAACAATCAGGCTATGAGGTTCTCTCCACACTCTCGCCAGAATTTCTGTACACAAATGAGTAGAGCTGGTAAATCGGCCGATCAGATCGGATTCAGGTTCAGTTACTTTGGGTTCAGGTTAGTTCAGGTTTGGGTCAATTTGAGTTTGGATTGAGAACTGTATGTTAATGATCCAATATCAGGGTGCAGGTTGACCCAACAGATTATGACTTTGTTTTAAAGAATTTTTAGATTCATTTTTACACTCGCATTTCGCATTAAATAAAATTAAAATATCAAAAAATATGTTTTAAATCTATTGCATTATTTTATTTTCAACTCTGAAGTAATTTTTAGGTATATAAATCAGTATAAAAAATTTAAAAAATGCATAATTTTTGGAAAAACTAAGATACCTATGCAATATTTTTAAAATTTTATTAGAAACTATAAATTTATACACTAAAAATGAGTAGTAGGGAAAAATATAATTATAATTTTATTTTTATAACATTATATTTCACAGTAAAGTATATAGATTTGAAAAATTATTACATTAGCAGGTGAGTCAGGTCGAGTTCGGATTCGGCCGGGTTTGACTAGCTTTTAGATCTATTTGACAACTTCTGAATAGGTAAGTGCTGAACCAGTAAGAGGTCTGAATCATTAAGAGTTAGTATATTGCTTAACTATTCAGAGGTAAATGTCTGAACAATTCAGATAAAAAGTCTTAACCATTCAGACTCTGTATAATACTTAATCATTCAGAGGCAAATGTCTGAACCATTCAGACATCTGAACCATTAATAGGTTGAAACAAACAGTCTGAACCATTAATTACTGAACCATTCAGACATCTAAACCATTAAGAGACTGAAACAAACAGCCGTGAATCATTTCAAAATTTTCGGGTCAAAAAACATGTCTCATTATTCATGAAGGGTGTGAGCTAATGATTCATATCGCGGCAGCCGCCTAACCATTTACCGGCTCAGGGGTCTGACAGCGAAATGGCTGCTTGCAGCTTCTGTTTCGCTTCCTTCAACGCTTCATCATCAACCAATCCCATTTCTTCCTTTTCGTCTCCTTTACACCCTATTCCTCAATTACGCATCACACACGCGCCTTCAATTTCGAAGCCCACTGCCCTCCATTTGGATCATATCCAACTCCGACCTAGACCTAGGCACAGGAGGGGGGCTTCGCAAAGATGCACTCCCAGCAGATTAGCTTGGCAAAAAAACACTCCCAGTTTCCTGGTATGTGAGTACAAGGACAGAATCGAGTAATCTGTTCATTGATTTTGTGGGATTCAGATTTATTATTTGGTTTTTTGATACTGCCTGAGATTTTGTAACGAAAAAGGTTGCGGCATCGGCTAACAAGGCGGAACCCTTGAGGATTGTGATTTCGGGTGCTCCGGCTTCTGGGAAAGGCACCCAATGTGAGCTCATCTCCAAGAAAGTAAAGGACATATTTTCTCTCTTCACTCGCTTACAATTCCGATTGTTTCCACTCAAAATATGTGGTGTCCAGTTGTATCTTTACACACTTTGTTTGATAGACTACATCAAAATGACACATCTAATTTCCTTTGCTTCTTCTTTCTCATTTTCTATGAAATGTTGGGTATTAAGTGCAGGATCAAACAGAAACACCTTCTATGTTTTCTCGGTTCTTTTATAGAGTTAAGTTGTGTGCATCTTGATATCCAAACCCCAACAGAGTTGGGATTATATTGGGTTTTGCTGTTTGTTGTTGCTCTTTAAGAGATGTTTATTTTGTTACGGGTTAGATTTTATTAAGCTAAAGGCTCAATCTTTAGTCCACCACTATTGGCTATATAATCCTGAATACTTACCTTAACATGATTGTCCTTTATTACCTGCTGTCCCTGCAGTATGATTTGGTGCACATTTCTGCTGGAGATTTGCTACGTGCTGAAATTTCTTCCGGGACTGCAAATGGGACACGAGCAAAGGAATACATGGAGAAAGGGCAATTGGTTCCTGATGAAGTTGTTGTAATGGTACATTCATTACCTGTCACATACTATTCTTGATTTTTTTCTCAATTCTTATTGTTGTGGTTATAGTAGATAGACAATATAATGTCGTGAAAAATTTATGGCTCTCCTTTTTAAACAGATGGTCAAAGAGCGTCTCATGCAACCAGATTCTCAAGAGAAGGGTTGGCTCTTGGATGGATACCCTCGCAGCTTATCTCAAGCGACAGCTCTTAAAGAATTTGGTTTCCAACCAGACCTCTTTATTGTTTTGGAAGTGAGGTTTTACCAATAATTGCTACCATTCATTTGCTTTATAATGAAATTAACAATCACATCACATATGATTCAAAATGTGATGTGATTTTTCTGTTGTATCATATGCATTTTTATAAATAGGAAATGCAAAATTTTATCACCTGATGAAAGTTAGTCCTAAAAAGATTTCATCTGGAGATCGTTAGCATGGACTTGGTGTGTAAATATTGGTTGCATTTTTAGGTTCAAGAACAAGTGCTTGTTGAGAGAGTGATAGGGCGCAGGTTGGACCAAGTGACTGGGAAGATATACCATTTGAAGTATGCTCCACCAGAAACTGATGAGATTGCTGCAAGGCTTACTCAAAGATTTGATGACACAGAAGAGAAGGTTTGTTTAGATTGCACGTGTTCGAGATTGTCTTCAAAGATTCTCTAATTCAAGTACGTAATTGCCTTTTTTCCAATTTATTTTCTCAGGTGAAGTTGCGTTTGCAGACTCACAATGAGAATGTTAAT